GTCCTGTCCTCGGCAATTCTCATCATCATTGGGCTCAGAGTACGGTGCCGCGAGCTCACCTATCTTGGTCTATACCATCAGCTTCTCGCTGCAGCACCGCATCTGCTTCGCCCGCATGATGCGCGCTGGCGGTCTCCAGGCACATCAGAGCAATCGCCCGCGAGAGCTCTACCGTTCAGTCTCGAGACTAGCGGCTCAATACTCTTGCTCAATCTGCTCAGCTGTCTTGCAGATTGCTCTCGAATAACTCGAGATCAAACCGCGAGCACGCTCGACGCGACACCGAATGCATATGCACCGGTCATCAATTCCGACTCGGAGTATTTTCTTATGTGTGCGGTTCATCGCATGGCGCTGGGATATACCTTTCGGTGCTTGTGATGTTGGAGTCGATACTCGTGGCAGGAACGCCGCGGCGGAGGGCATACGGACTGTCTTTGTCTTCCCGACATATGCCTGACCAAACTACGATGACTTCGCCATCATTACGCCCCTTATACTGGAGTGCGTTCGCCCGCTTCATGATCACATTTTTCAGCCTCGGTCATTTCGCCGGGTTATACGTCTTTGATTCGGCATCAGCTATCCGGCAACCACTTTCGGTACATAGCCTTCACGATTCACACCCAGCAGACTGGCTGAACAGGTTGTACATAGCTATGTTGGCCGCTCCAGTTCGAGAGACCGAATTCATCATTGGATCAATCCAGCTCTGGTAGTGAATGCGGAAGTTTATTCACGCAGCTCACGTATAGAACGACAGGAGACGACACGCGAGCTGCGCGAGTAGAAGCAGCATGATTGGAAAGATGGAGAATATGATTGGAGATGAGACATAGCTGCGGCGAGTGAAGACGGGCGTGTGTGCGAGGTGCCGGGTGCCCAAAACGAAGTCTGAGCTGATGCATAGGCACGGTCTCTGTGGTACCTACGTCTCAGATGAGCATCATCCTTCTGACCTCTGTAGTCAGTTTTTCAACGGCTTATAGACGAGGAAGCGTAACCTCTAGTCTTGTTCAACAACTGGTGTAAGGAGGCAGCAGCCCAGCCGATTCGGTACGCCTTGGGCGCGGTCACCTGACGGACGCGCGACGCGTCGCGAGGAAGTGCGGATGCGATGTCTGGCGCCGAACCCAGTCTGTGCCGCAAGCATCTCGCAGAAGGGGTGTCTTTAAGATACTGACGCCTGAGAACATCTCGTAGCGCACAACGCAACTACATTATGCCACAAGAGATGGAGGTGGGAGGGTACCACTGCAATGACCCGCGTCGAAGGTTCCGAACACTTGGCAAACGCTAGAACGCGCGGTCCCAGACTTCGGGTTTCACGCTTGTCTTGTCGGCTTGATACTCTGGGCTGTCTCAAACTCTTTCAGTTCTCATTTCCACCTACTTCTGCGTCCGATGGCTCTCGTTCTTCTGGCCTCCACCATATTGAATAGGATCTAGCAGTACAACATGAAGTGTGGGGGAGAAAGAGCTTGTAATGAGCTCGCCAGAGTGCTGTCGGGGTGTTAGGTAGCGAGCCGCGTGTCTGCCGCGGTTCGCGAAAAGAGGGCGAGCTCGTCGCCAGTGTCAATATCTACGATAGGCCCTATCCAGCAGGTTGTAGCACCACATCATATGCTTGGATCTGTGCTTCGGAGTGGTATCTGCACGCGCACAATGTGGGCGATAAGACAGTGACACGTAAGACAGCGCATCACAAATGGGAATCGGGCCGCTTGTCCGACAGCAACGTAAGCCGCGTCAAACGGAGTTCGTCTTGACCGCCATGACCGAGACCGTCGTCCGACAAACCAATGCTTGCGCCGCATTCAATAGGTCTCGTGTCAAGATCTTCTCCGAAGAGCTCGGCGTATGTGTGCGCTGCTCTCAGGGACGTACAAAGGAGTGCCAATTCTATCGTGAGATTGTCACTGGATATAGCCTGGGAAGGTCTTTCTAAACTCGTTAACGTTGCTACAGGGACAGACAAGAAGGGAAAGGTTCTCGAGCAGCGCACCTTTCGAGTATCTTCGGAGCCTGGACATCGTTTGCTAGAAATCTGTCCCCAAGGGTTTAACAAAGATGTCAAAATCGAGTACAAGTCGGCCCCACCCAACAGGACCCGGGAGACGGCTTCGGTTTGTCTGGTAAGACGAAGTGGATGCCGTACATAGTACAAAGCTAAGAGCTAAACCTAGGATGGATGCGTAGTTGGGATTGAGCGGCACATCATTGACCACATATCGTTACGGGATATATGCGACACTGCGATTCCCTGGACGCCGAGACTGGACTCTACTCGTTCAACTTGCGGTATTTCCGGTTCTGATCTTGAACCTCCTGCTGTATTCAGTGGAAACGCTGGTAGATATATGCAGGACTTCATTGTTCTGCGCCGTACGGCTATGCAGATTCTGTGGCCAGGAGTTCTGCGTTGCGTGTGTACGTCAGGGACTGGTTCGTGCTCCGCATATGCCAACAGGCCGGGAAGCTACATCTGACAATGATACAGCTTAGCTCTCTGGCATGCGCGAAAGGTCGCAATGCAGTCGATCACGACCTCGTATTGCTTGAAGTTTTCAAAACTGGCGAAGCAGAAGAAGCTTTGTCAGATTTCCGAGAGCGGCGCGAGCTGTGGGTCTTCTGCCTCGATGTCGGTACTTATCACTGACGCCTCATTAGTCACCCCAGTCCTCAACCTCAACCCTTGGCCAGGGAGCCTATCCGAACAAATCTGCAGGATAAGTCCGACATTCCGACCTATTCGAAGCTATATCACGCCCTCGCGAATGGCATCCCTATGACCGTAGCTGGCATCCATCCCGGCGACCGCAATCTCACGCCCGACTACTTTATACACAAGCACGGCGACACCATAGTTACGCTCACCAATACGAAGACGGGATCTCAACGAAGAGTCGCATTGAAGCATTTCATGAGCGGGTTTGGCAGCTCGATTGATCCCGAAAATCCGGAGAAACTACAGGTCCGACGCTCGTCTCTCCTCGAGGTCTCGCCAGCACTGATATGACACATAAAGGACTGGCCGCCTACAGCTGACTTTGCGCTGAAATTTCCAGAAATATTCGATCTCTTTGAAGACTGCCTTATAGGGCCTTGGCTTACATCAAGAAGGGGTCCTCTCAACCTCGAAACGAACATGCCGATCAACTCATGCCCACCAGATACAGGTTCGACGTGTTCGCTCGGAACGGATCGCTTTGCAGTACTGATCCCCGTATCAGGTCCGAAAGCTTATCTTGCTCACGGTGCAGCTGGCGGAACCACGACGCGTCTACATTGCGACATGACGGATGCCATCAACATCTTGTTCCACGCGGAAGGTGGGTTACGAGGCGGCGCATTGTGGATAATGATTGACCGAGATGATATGCGTCGTGCTGAGGAGTTACTGAGAGAATGGAAACACGGCTCTTTCGGAAAAGGGCACCCAATCCATTCTCAGCAGCTCAACCTCACCGACGAAGACGTCCAAGCTTTGAGGGCGAAGAAGGTTCGTGTCTGGACCCTTGTGCAAAGACCAGGGGAGGCTGTCTTCATCCCTGCCGGCGTCGGTCACCAAGTCAGTGTTTCGCGATGTTAGTTGATGATGAACTGAATAAGTAGTAGGTTACCAACTACACCCCGTGCATCAAGATCGCTGTCGACTTCGTGACATCTGCAAACGTCTGGTACTCGCAAAAGATTACTGAGGAGCTTCGAGAACACCGATTGGCTTGTGGAGATAGGGACTCCGAAGATGTTCTTCAGCTTGCTTCTATGTGCTGGTGGACGTATAAGCGCTGGAAGGCTGAGAATCTGGCCGAGGCGCGTTCGGATCCTAACTCGAATCCCTGGATCTCGAACTATTCTGCGGCCCCCCTTTACATGCCAGTCAGCCTTAACGTCAATGAGTGTCCGGCTGATTTACCTCATGACCTATCGCACGCTGACGATTCGTAGCCATGACGGCCACACCCTCCGACGATCGTGATCCTGACGCCTCAGTCGGCGATCAAGGCGCCTTCAATCCAACCAGCTTCTTCCCCCAGAGACCGGTCCCCGACAATGGCAACGCAGGTTCACCATCCACTATCGCCCGAGGTGAGCCATGAGTACTTTCTTTGGTTACTGTTCAACGGGCACGTCTGACCCTTTCTGTAGAAGCCCATGCATCGCCATCGCCTATAGCTCGTCAAGAAGTATCGTCACCGGGACTTGTACCCTGCAAGCGGCCAACCTCGGATGAGGCCTTGACCAAAACCCAGAAGCGGCGTCTGAAGAAGGCAAGATCTGTTTACAACCAATCTCTACTGGACGCTACAAAGACTTTGACTTGTCCGCTCGGCGGGTGTAAGCGACCGAATGATAGGTTCGATCGGCGGAATCTACTCAATCACTTGTATGTACAAGTGTACCTCCTTCATCTACGGCGATTGACGAGCCTGTCTCTCCAGGGAGAGTAGTCACCGTGGAAGCGTCACGTTCTTGCATGATGGATCGAGCGTTGAGACGGTCGAGAAGCGCAAGCTGATTCTTGAGACGCACGCGGGTGACGACGCAGCCTTTGCAAGATATCTGTCGAACGAGGTCTTGAATATATCGTAGCTAGGGTTCGTGTGTCAGTACATCACACCAAATGCGGTCGACGAACTCTTCTTGCGGTCGAGCCACTCCGTGTCTGGCGTCGCCCTCATGGAGACCGCTCATGATGCATGATGCTTGATGCATGACATTTTCTGCGCAGCTCCGCGCCAATAAAGACTTTCGCCCAGGTCTCGAACGTCTACATCATCTGCGAGAATGGATGTTGGCCTCGACGAGCCCATCATAGCGATAGTCTCATAGGCCTCGAACTCTGGCCCACGCGCTCTGCGGATCTCACAGTGCGGCCCGATGCAACTTCTCATCTTGTTCACGTAATATGTAACGCTGCCGTCGAGAAGGCCAATTCCGCCGGGGTAAGTTGATTTGACCCATTGCCTGACACGCGCGTACTGACTAGTGGCGTCCATAGGACAGCACTTTCCATGTCCCAGGACTTCCTTCCGCCACACCTTAGGACTCTTCAGGGAGAAGATCCTCTCGGGCACCGAACTCTCTGAGAGTACATGCAGTCAGAGTGGCTTCGCGCTGCTTCGCAGCGCCTCCGTCTCAGACATGCTCAAGCCTCAAGCCCCACGGCACGCACATTTCTACAGTTGTCACACGAGCGCTACAACATCGACGATGCAGATCTTGTACTTGCCGAAGCCAACGGTGATATCGAGAGCACACGCGGCGTGGGCATCAAGACTGTGCATCCAGATCTTGGACTTTAGTTAATATACGCTCAGCTGAGTCTTACGGATTCTTAGGCCGCTCCATGATAGAAATCGCGAAAGCTACGCGTCCTGACATTTCCGGGTCCATAGGCGACTATACGCTCGCACTTATCGTTTGAGAGGGCGCAGCCATTCGCTTCTCAAAGAATCAACCTACTAGCACAACGCAGCATGAACTTGTACCCGCTGCATATATCAGACGGGGCACAAACCGTTGGCAAGCCAGGCTAGGGGGAGGGGCTGACCATAGTCGACGGATAAGTCAGCGAGGTTACAGTGCCTGATTCAATCATGGAGGGTGTAGAGCTTCTATCAATATTGTGAGCGCGCAAGACGAGTTGCGAAGGAACAGCATGACGCACTTTACAGCCGGTGAGCCTTATGAAGCCTGTCGCGAGTGCAACGAATGCACCGCAAACATGGTTCCCGAAGTCGTGCTGGTAGTATTTCAGCCGCGGAGAATCAAACACAGGAGGAGCAACTTACTCGCCATCCTAATTAAGAAAGCCCGACGGCTTCAGATTCTTCTCCAGATATCTTCTTGCCGTGTATCCCTGAGGTGCAGTAGTAGGACGAACCCAAGAGGTACGGTGGCTCGGCAATCGCATGCAGCGCGTATATTGTGGGAGATCCCGGTCGTGTCTGCGCCCGTACAGCAGAAAGCTCATAGCATCGGCGCTTCCCTCTTTGCTACTCCTCCCTCCGGTTCGCAACGCCATCCCTTCCTACTTAGGCCTGATGCGAAAGTGTTCCATGAATTTAGTAACGAGCTAAGGCGGCAACGACCTACTTGTGGCAATGGTAAGGCGTAGGTCTTCAGAGGCGTGCCGCTACTGGATACGGTCTGTAAGAAAGGCGGTGACTCGTCGTCCGAGCGTAGTGGGCTGCAGCTTCAGATGGCTTGCGAGCGGTCCAAGGGAGAATATGCTGACGAGGGCGCCCGCGCGCATGCAACTGGATCATGGTCGGTTCGTGTGATGGTGTTCAAGCTGCGTTGTGCCGCATGTGGGGCCGTTGATCGTGCGGGAGGTTGACGGGGGCCGACTGGAATATCCCGGGCTCGCATTCACTGCGACTATTCATCTGCTGGATTCAGGAGGCTGAAGTCAGTCAACTGAATAGCAAGGAGGGGTGAATACCGTAAACGCTGCGCTGGGCGCACGAGACAAGACGCAAGTACCGTAGGATCCAATTAACCGCCACGACATCGTGAGTGGCGCGCTGTGAGGAACGCCGGCGCATCAACGAGCTGCGTCACAGGATGAGACTAAGACAGGCATGCTGTAGTAGGGTAGAACGTACCTTTGTTACAGCTGCGCATCTTGGTGGTGGTGGTCGCGAGTCTCACAGCAGCACGGCGTCCGGTGATATAGTCATGTGGTCTTGTTGGCCGTAACTTGTACCAGCACGCATTCCTCCTTCATACACCACCTTTGCGAGCAAGATCTAGAGTGCTGTCTCTCAAGACAGTACGAGCCATTGGACCACGAGCGATGCAACACACGCTATTGCCCTAGAGCGAATACACCTTCGTTACACTCGCCATGAATTCAACATGAATTCGTCACATCATGCTCTCGCGCTCTTGGCGATGTTCTGTTGTATCATTCATAGGCCGTCGAGCCGCAAGGGCCACGTATCAGTGCGCGGTCATCTACGGCTTGTAGCAGCTAAGGCCGGGGCTTTCTCAGGGTGGCCGTCGTCAATCAAGAAGGAGTCTACCGCGCTTCAGGTCTCTTCGAGATTCTGCTATGTGCAGACGATATATATATTTGCCGACAAATCCTTTACGATAACGAAACGAAACTAAACCCCTACAGCTGATTTTCGAGGTCTTCGCACGGTATGCCTCGCTGAAGGCCAGCTATCGCCGCTTTCACCGACGATTCCGCCAAGCGTGCATCGACAAGTATGAAGATAGGACACACCGTCCTATGGCCTGCCTTCCAGCTCCTATTGAGCGTCAGCTGTTGCCTAACCACCCATATATAGTATGATGAACTTGCCTTATCTGGCATTCCCGTCCACAGTAGGTGGGACGTTTGCAGCGAGAACATAGCCAACGATCTTCTGAGCGCTCGAGCTGTGCAGAGCAAACGGAGCAGAGATCTCGAGTTCTAGGCCAGATCCTAGACGCCGGTCGCAGCGCGTGTAGCTGCTCCGGAGACAGACTGGCAACGAGCGCCGCATGCGCGGTGCTCCCTGCCAGTAAGCGGCAAATGTAAACGCACTGCTCCTGCATACCCTGAACGGGGCGAGAAATTTGTTCTGCTATATCGAGAAGGGATACAGCCCGTATGCCCATTGTGCGACGACGGGACTTCAGATTCCAGTATAGAAGACGCAGGTAGCTGGCCGAGTAGGAGCTGCGTAGTTGACGATAAAATGTCCCTGCCTGTTGCCCACTGATTCTGACACATCGTTAGCCCAGCTTATACGGCGTCCTTGTTGCTGAGAACGTACAAGCACTGATTGAAAATCTGGTACAACTGGCACCATAGAAACTTCTGAATATATCGTGCCGTCAATGGCATACGTTCTGGAGTCATACAGAGTTGGTGTGCGATGTAGTTGACCGGCTCGAGGTATCGTGCGAAGTGGTGCGCGCGTTCCAAGTTGCGCTCGAGGCGACCCTGAACCCCTACCGAATCATACACCCTGAAGCTGTACAAGCTGTAGACGATGCTGACGGTTTGCAGCCAGAAACTCCTACACTGGAGCCCATGTTAGAGCGGGGGCCGAAACAAGAGGGTTGGTCCCCACTTACGTCTCTTTGCTTCTCTATGAGTTCAGCAAGAAGCCAGAGTGCGCTAGTTATCTTGAGATAGAGCATCTCGCGACTAGGAAACGAAGGTTGTCCAAGTACGGGGGCCATTGTCTTCGAGGAGACCATCACTCGCATGGGAGAAAGGATGGGCCCATAGTCGCCGCCGACAGAATGCTGTAGCTCTTCTATGGCACGGGTCGCGAATGGCACGAACGGATCCCAGCGGCGCGTCACGGCGGCATCCTCGGTTCTCATGGTGTCCAGAGAGAGGCGTAGATGCTGAGTTCGGGGTGCATTCCTTTAGTATGCCACTGCATAGGCCATGCGCGGAGATAGCGTGAGCATCAACTTGAGCCGTGGCGCGTCCGTGGATGTCGGCCGACCGGTAGCTACTAGCGATATATTGTTTGATGGCATTGGGACAGCTGCGGGGCAACAGATTCGAAACGGTGTTAGATATATGCTTTCAATCCTGAGGAATACACAACTGGAACGGATCTTCGGATCTTGTGACAGGAGAGAGGCAAAGTATGAGATCACGACTGAGCGGTAGAGCTCTCGCGCCGGCGACTGCTCTCAGATGTGCCTGGAGACCGCCAGCGCGCATCATGCGGGCGAAGCAGATGCGGTGCTGCAGCGAGAGGCTGATGGTATAGACCAAGATAGGTGAGCTCGCGGCACCGTACTCTGAGCCCAATGATGATGAGAATTGCCGAGGACAGGACAACGCCACCATGGTCGTCCTAACCAGATATCGCTAAGCTCGATGGGGCACCCAATCGTGGGAACGTCACGGACGTTTCCGAAGCCGACGCTTCGGCGCTCGGGAGCTCAGATCGGAACCTCCAGCATCGGTGACCATTCGTCCATCATATACATGTCCATTTTTGACAACCCTGAGGGCGCTACAGGTACGCACATGCAGTCGCAATACATGTGCAGAGGCTACGGAGGAATCGCATAGCCATCTACGTAGTTTCAACTGCCTTCCTAGACAAACATCTTTTGGTTAGGGGCGTCGACAGATCTTCGGCTCAATCTCTTGCGCGACTAGCCCTTGCGCTCGCAAATGAAGTCACAGTGCAATTGGAACCAGGCTGTACGGCCCTTAGCTAGTGTGCTTGGCGGGTGCACTCATGCGCGTGGGGTAAGGCTTCTTCACATACTGACTCGGGGGCTGTCCAAGGTAATCACCATCCCGTCAAGTTCACTGGTGCTTTGACCCGCTTGCCGAACTTTTCCCACTGATACTTGGATCTCCGGAAACGTATGGCGTTGGCGCTGAGACATGAACCAAAACGGCCGACTCCTGCGCTGTGCGTTACTGACTACTGAACAGTTTGCGATGGGAAGTTGTTGCATGACCCGGGCGACGTAATGCAGTTCCTTGAGCTGCAGGTACTGCGCATGGTGAGGAACTTTACAACGGCAATGCATCTTGAGGCACGCTTTTGTTGATGAGAACTTTAGCCTCAGTCTGCGGTAAACTTGTGCGGGTAGCGCTTACTGATGCATGGACTCGTCCATGCAATCGATGGGCTGCTGATTGAACACAATTAACGACAGTGGTCGTCACCGGAATGTGAAACAGAGTTAGGAGCTTAAATTCGGTTTCCTCACCCCACCATCATCTCACCCCGCTCATTGACCAGCCTCGACGCTGCGCGTCGTACTCATCCTCTCATCCTCAACTCTGCTCTCAGTTCATGCCTGTACACGCGAAGATAGCTGGACCATCGCCTTCTGAAGCGATAAAGGCGGTAAAGCGCAACCGTGGCCGGCCAGCCAACACAGGCGCTCCGCAGAAGCGTATGATGATTGAGGACATTGCAGGGTATCGCTCTCTTAAGGCTAGAAGCGCGCCGCAAAGCGACATTACGGCGATAATCAACTCCGAGACTCGGAAAATCATTCAACACTTTGGATGGACAGATCCGCTGCGCGCCGTATCCCCGGTCACAGTAGTCGAGGCCGATAGTCAGGACGAGCACGAACAGAAGCGAAGAGACGCTGTATTCAAGAAGGTCCGCGCGGTGCGTTGTCTTTCCAGAAGACAGTTGTTTATCATCCCTCACACTCGAAGTAGGAAGTGAGAAAGGTTTGGCGGGAGAACCTGCTGGCCGCGCCTTCTCACACAGCCGACAAGTCTTCGGTCCAGATCGCGGAGTTGATTAAACTTTTCGCTCGCAAGCCCCGTCGCAAACAACTTTATAAGGTCTGGGCCACATCACAAGCACGTCCTGACCTGGAGGCGGAAGTAGACAAACGCCATGCCGTCAAAATGCAACAGAGCGCATCCAATACACGCCACATTCCGCGTGTGGCGACGTGGAACGAAGTGGCCTCTGAGTGGTTTCATTTGGCAAGCAAACGGGAGAAGAAGGCAGCTCGCAAACAAAGCAAGCGTGCATATCGGCAGGACAAAAAGGGTTGGGAACTCGGCGCGTCTGCGACGCCAGACTCTCCTGATGAGGCTATCGAGTGAGTTCGTACTCTGGCCGCATTTGGCATGTCTGAGACTATCTCGATAGGTTCATGGAGGCGTCGCAGACTTTTCTAAGCGATCTTATGCACTTCTTTGCGAGTAGGGCTTCAGGAATAGCCGTCATGTTCCTGAGCGGCCCCAACGGTGCCAGTTTGATGTGGGTGCTTGCGCTCTCTCACTGCACCTTGCGCTCATACACAATCAGCTCTGAAGGCGTATGTAACGTACCCGAACGACCGAAACTGCTTTACACCGAAGTAAACCCAGACGACTGCACGCACTTCAAATATGCATTGGCGAAACAAACACAGATTCTGAACGGTGAGTAGCGATCTTGTCTTTCTCATAGCCCTTGTATATTTACGCAGCCTGCGATATGGCGCCATAGAGGCGAAGTGGGGTGGAATGCATGTCATTCCTGATCGTTCAGCTACAGCCGACAAGAACAGCGACGATGATGTCGAAGGCGAAGAAGTTGAAGTCGAAGGTGGCCGTATTGAGGGCGGAGAGGTTGAAGGCGAAGAGGTCGAAGAGGAGGGTGTCAACGACGGGGATGGCGATGCTGACGAAGACATTGCAGACGATGATGATGGTGTGGAAGGGACGGACAAGGTCGAATTTCTGCTGTATCCCCCACTTATGAGTGGCAACCAGCAGGGAGCCCAAGAGACGCACTCGCGCAATCATTCTGGTATCATTCCTTAGCTTCTGACATGACAATGTCTCATAGACTCTTCGTAGATCCTGACGCCTACGAAGGGTCGCTTTCAGTACACTCTAATGCTGAGACTAGCGCGGACGAACCGATCTTTGTTGACAACCCTTACCCCGTAAGCAAGCCGACGTGGTCATGTTTCTCCTATTGAGCATATCCGTCGTAGTTCGACATAACTTGTGGCATATTTCCCGCGCAGAGGGCCGGCATGGCGACATACTTCGCATTCGATGTGGAAAAGCACTACACACGGTCGATTGCGGACACGGTGCGCTCAATCATACCGCTTCTTGCTTAGACAGCAGCTCATCATGAGAGCCAGGCCGAGTACGCCCGCGTATTTCGCGTTGCAGTGTCCAAGATACTACCACGCAAGCCATGGCTAGAAGAGTCCAATACGGTGAATTTCCTTAGGTCAGTGCCGAAAAAGCTGCAAGATCGGATAGACGTACAGCTAGCGTGCGATCTGAGCATGGCGTACCTGAGTTTTGAAGCGAGCGGTTTGGTCAGTTTATCATCAGGTCATACGCACTGGCACTCATGCGATAGCAGGACGAGTTTCCTCTAGACGTGAAGGCAATGAAGACGTCGGATGGATCCGCTATTACCCAACTTCCGAGTTATGTGGCAGGCTTACAGTCAAGATCCTTCGCGTCCAGATGGAACAATAGAGCCGATAAGGGTATATCCAGGACACCGGCGCAGCTGGATGCAGACATTGACGTTACGCTGCCCCACCAATGGGCACTACTGCAACCGAAGGAACGCTTGGACGACCAAGAGCGCATAGTTCACGCTGCTAACGCGAGTATGACCTGGAAGAAAGCTTTGGCCCCAGGAATAGACGGCGTACGCTTGCTCGTTGTGACAGCTTTAGTCTGGGCATGGAACATCGGGGAAGAGGAGCACACGCAGTGGTCGTACTTGGCGATCGATATGATCCAGGTCCTTCGCATCCTATGTCATCAGGCCACCCTCCAGGAAGCCTACAGTTCAGAAAGAGTGACCGGACAAGCTGAAAGCTGCATACCAGAGGGGCGTAAGAAATCCGCGCGCAAGTGGTATGTTCGAGATTGGTTCGCAGGATGATGACAGCTAATGATGGTCTAACAGGAAAAAGAGTGCAAAACTTCGAGAGTCGGAGAGAAGTGGGTGATGTTTGCCTCAACCCAGACGGAAGGGATCACGAGGCACCGTCCGTATCGTCGGCGCGTCGGCATACCGGCTGCGTACTGGCTTATAGCGAAGAATGGGGTATGAAGAACGTTGTATTGTTCGGTACAGGTACCAAGACTCGTGGCAGCGTTTTAGAGATACGATACATGATATTGGATGAAGAGTGCTCATTTGATCTCGCGTGCAGTAGATGAATGGTGTGATGGATGGCCTATATGACGATGAGTTTATGTGCAGTCGGTTGACAGAACCTTCAGCCGCTAGCGTACCTAGCCAAGTCTTCGTAGTAAGAGTAACCCTCTTGGCCCGCATTGCCATGTAGCAAGCGCCTTTGCGAGTCCTCCAAGGCGGGCTTGACATCGATCCGGGCTAACTTGACCACAGCTGCGTCACTGATGAGGGTCTGGCGCGTCTCCACCCGATGTGCATTCATGATAGCCGTAAGTAGTGCTGGATGAGCTAACCGCACAATGGAGCACGGACCAGATGCTCGTGACAGTGAATCTTGACCATGCTCGCCGACAAAAGGTGAGCGCGCAGGATACAGGAACAGGCGGAAGGAAGAGAGGGAGGGGACTAGGAGGGCGGGACTGGCGGGAAAGCGGCTGTTCGCAAGCGGTAACCGAAACAAGACTCATCAGCACTGCAGTTGGACACATTTACGGTTGGCAGTATTCACCGGAAGTGGATACGTTAAACGTTTGAGCAGTTAGACCATTGGTGAGAGAGTGGGAAGACCTGGAAAGACGTGAGAGCTGGTGGACAAGGTCGAACAGCGGCGCTTGGAGTCGCGGGCTGAGCGCGCCTCCGAGCCTCAGCTCTTCTCACCCTGCCACGATGTTTGTTCGATGAATTCACCTCACTTCGTTGAGGCAAAGTACGTGTTTACGCTTTAATCGACTGAAGGAGAAGTCTCAAAGACAAGCTAGGGCTTGCACTAGCGGAACTTTGTCGATGATACCATCTGCGAAACAGAATGTGCTGTAGAGCGTGCTATGGGCTCTGCATATACTTCTGGGCAGAGGTCCAACAGCTGAGATGCGCTGCGTGACGAATGCATACGGTGCCTACGTCAATCGAACATCGCGAAGCGCCTTATGTCGTGCGAGGTCCGGACCTCTATCCGTCTGTTTGGGTCCATAGACGTTGACGGCGATTTAGGGCAGCGTGCACAGGTCACCGTTTTGAGCGCAGCGCGCGTCACATCAGCTACAGCCCCAAAAGATGTCAACGAGGTACAGAAGTCTTCCAAAGGTTCTAGACATATCTGACACGAGGAAATGCAGAGACCTTGCACCATGCAGCGTCGCGCAAGCAAGTACAGTAGGAATGAGCACCAACCAGCTTGTACGCAGTCGCAATGTGACGTCGTGACAAGGTGTGAGGGTCATGACTAACTCTACAATTACTAGTACTGACGCTAACCTGTCGTGTAGCGGACCTCTGACGATTCGCAAGGCCTATCCGACGTCTACAGCGGCTTCTACTCCAACGTCGGCAGATGTGTTGCAGGCGAGACTGGTGCTTCGTCGCCCTCAACCGGACGCGGGCATTGAGATGCGCCGCCTAGAGTTGGAGGGCACAGGTCGCCGGGACGGACATCATCGCTCACGCGGTACAAACGCTGTCTTTTACCGAACCGGCGAGTAACTTCACGGTCGCGCCGGTGACGCAACTACCGCTGCTCGCTCGATCGATTGATGGAACGAACGACACAGTGAGCTGAAGCTTCTAGCGTATGACTATGCTACATCTAACAATGTTCAGCAGGATGCGCCCCTCGATATGCCGCGGGGTGGGAAGAACGTCGGCGCGGTACGATGCCTCCTCTTGAACGTGACTGACGTGGCCGACAATATCGCTCAAGACGTCGCAAGCGCGTCCGAAGCGCGGGAAGAATCGATAGAATGTCGGACCGAGGTATACTAGCGCGCTGGACTCCGTCAGCAGTAACTTAGCTTGATCCATGAACATGTACAGTTGCCTGAGTTGCACGCCCCATTCACATTTTGGACAGAGAACTGAGCCCGATCTTCGTGTTTGCTGCTTGCGGCGAGCGTGGCGACTCGACCTGGCTCAATGGAGGCCGCGCTTTCTTCGCCAGGTTCAGCTCCGGTTCTGCCCCCACTGCGTACTTGGCGCAGCATTGACTGGATTCAGTGCGCCCGCTTGCTCGACGCCGTGTCATGTTGAGGTCGAGAGTTTGTCGGGAGCGTAGGATATTGACTAGTCTCCTTATGTAAACGTCGGCGCGCTGGCAGCTGCGCCGCGCGATGACTTCCTGCGACATGCTCGCTCTGGCGGTGACGAGGAAGCGCAAGCGGTGAGTCAGCATCTGAGATGAAAAGACGGAGCGGCGCTAACCTTAACGCACGTTGTAGTCATGCGACCGTCCAGTGATGGCGGTCAGGTTTGTTCGGGCGCGCGACGATCCATGCAGCGGCGCATAGGTTGGCCTATATAAACCGCTGCTGTGCGCCTGATCCTCGTAGCCTCCCACCACCACGAACCAGCCCTTTTCCCGGCGCATTGCATACTATGGCAAACGTGAGTGCGGCGTCATCTTACGGGGTTTCTCAGCTCATCGCCTGTGCTAGAACCTCCAGATTGAAATCGCCCGCGCCGAGATGGAAGTCGCCCAGAAGCGACTCGCGCTCCTACTGGCCCAGGTAAGTCGGGCGTTATGTCGACTTCGTTTGTATCCGCGAGAGATTACGCTGACGGCAACAGGGCTCGCCAGCGCAAACCGCGCCTGAACGCACCGGCATGCCGCCGAATGGTGATGTCGGGGTGAGTCGTGCACCTTTCCGGCCGACGTACCTGAGAGCGCTGACTGATGTGGCAGGTTGAACTCGGGAACGCCGAGCACAACGCGCAAGGAGGCGAGTCCGGCGAAGCTACGTCGCGCGACGGCGCGGATCCGGCAGCCACGGAACTTTCGCCAAATACGCCTGGCCCCGCCGTAGCTGAGGAGGTGAGGCACGGAGTGCTTTGCAGAAGGCCAACGAAATTACTAACCGCCGTGTTCTTTAGGACGCGAACGTTCTGCCGCACGCGGTGACCGTCGACGACGAACCGACGCAGGCGCCCGGCGACACTCTAGATGGTGCGGATGCGGACGAAAACGACGAGGATGCGCACAGCGCTGCGGCGCCTGATGATAACGACGAGGTGGAAGGTCTGGTGCGGGACGACGGTGAAGACGCCGAGACGAGCCCGGTTACCGTGAGAACCGAGACCGACGAAGCGAAGACGAGCGCGGCGCCGACGGACGGGGACGACGAAGATATTACGCTCATCGGACCGTACATCGACCGCGTACTGCGTTGGGCTGGTGCCGTCTGGTCCGACGCCGAGGTCAGGCCGGGTGTGGACTTCGGTGCGGCGGCAGACCTTGCGACGGAGATGCTTAATTTTGAGATTGTTAGTTGCGCGAATCAGGTGAGATCAGCATCCGCTTACCGTACGTGCCGCAGCTGAACAACGGCACAGGCGTCGCGCCGCGCTCCTCTCAACATCAAGTCGGCGAAGCAATGGGCTTCGAAGCAGAGGATGGCGTCGAAGGTATATGCGACGGTGCCAGAGCCAAACTACGTGCAGCTCGTCGTGGAGACCTGGCACCACATCCGCGAGCAGCCCTACAAGGACGTCATGAAGATGCACGGCAAGTACGGGCTGATTGGTGTCGTACGCGCAGTCTACCAGGCCAACGCCGTCTACCCGGAGAAGAGTAAGGACTTCAGCATCCTCATGCTCGAAGCAGCGGATGCGTTGAGGGCCATGCGCGCGATCATCGGGGCTGCGCGTGACGCTCAGCCGGGGCAGGCGACAGCGCCGCCCATAGCAGCATCGACTTCGCTCCTCGACGTGCTAACGCTGCGCAACTCGGAGCGGACGGCGCAGGCTACGCAGGTCATCAAGCGCTTGAGCAACGCGGACGTGATCGAGATTGAGAGTGAGGACGAAGAGCCGGCGCGAGGTTCCAAGGGCGGCAGCGGCGTCGGCAAGTCGAGGAAGGCCGCTGCGAAGCGCAAGTCGACGAGCACGCCGGGAGCTTCGCCAAAGCCGAAGAGGCAGAGGGTGTAAGGTATGGTTTGCTGCTTGAACAAACACGTACGAGGAAGTCTACTGTTGCTGCGTCGAATGTACCCATATTAGTATATATATTGAATTCTTCTTGTGGAAGCCTCGACGTCGAGAAATGGGCACGATAGAATCGTATATTTAGATCGAGTACACTACAGTACTGGAGTGCTGTTCAATAAGAGTGATAACAGTACATGTCAGCGTATTGTACATGTCTGGATGTAGCACTGAAGCGTAGAAAAAGGAAATTAATAAGAAGTAATAGTGAGTGAGGTTCGAACCAGCGGAGACGCTATCGCGTTGCTTCGCCGCACCATTGATCTTACAAGTGATTATTATGCTACGATGTAGCGCCCGATGATGGTACTAGTTACAGGAGAGAGCAGTCAAGGCGAGGAAAGTTATGAGAACCATCGAGAAGCTTGGATGAGTATGAGTGAAGGCGCAACATCGACTGGATTTCGTGGACGCACCTTCTACCGATATCGCAGACTATTGACGTAAGTGTAAAAACAGAATTCAGGGGTAGTGTGTGAGCTAAGGCAAAGAATGAGGACCGTGAATGGCGCAGACGAACGTCCACGACGCTGACGAACAGAAACTTCTAATGAAAAAACGGGTGATCATCTCGCGGCATCGCGGCGCTGACGTTTGGAACTCGCTTCCTCCCTGTGATCGCACGAGATGTGTGTACGGAGCCTTGTCTGATCTGTGAAGCACAAATCGCAGTGAGGACATGTGTAAGGTGTTCCAACCGTACTGCATATCGACATCAATAGTGAAAATAGCCAGTAGATAGAGGTGCTCACTGTGCATTAATGTGATATTTATCCGCATTGCCGCGCTGGGTGAACGTTCTGCCAAGTGTATGAGAGGTTAGCATCAGGATATCAGTCAGGGACTCACCTTCCGCACCAAGTACACTCGAAACGCCTGAGGACATTGAATATCTCGAAAGCGTCTTAGCCGAAAACAACCACGTACCTGATGTTCATGTGCCGCGTTTCGACGTGTCGCTTGACAAAGTGCTTAGTCGACTTATAACCGCATAGGGCAGGCTTTCCGTCATCCATCTTCTCATAAACACAATGCCATCGACTTGGTTCACCAGGAACCGGTTGCGCATACTTGAGGTACTTCGTAGCGTCGACCTTCACGGCAACCTTAGCAATCTCAAGTTTCACCCCACTACGGCTGAAGAACTCCTTGCGAGGTTCTTTACCGGGCCCCTGGTCAGTTTCACGAATCCGGTAGACGGCGTAACTTCCATCGTATCGCTCATCCTCGCTCCAGCGCTCGTCACGAGCGTGCTTGTCCGCGGAGTTTTGTTGTTCATGATCATTAGTATCGTTGGTAAGCCCGCGTTTCGGCGTTGTCCGACGCAGACCCGAGTGAGACAGGTCGCCATTCGATATGGCTGCCGGGACTCTTTCCTCAGAGAGTAGTCTGAGTGTTGCAAGTCATGAAAGGCCTCCAAGTTTGCTTACCCAGCTTGTGACTGACGCTGACAAGAGTCTCCGTAGCTGGAAGGCAAACGCAGCGGGTCCGGGGAGTAGTGGTAGGAGAGAGGTTCGGACGACGCTGGCGGTGGAAGAGCGTCGGACCCACTTATAAAGAAGCTTCAGTATACAGGGGGAAAGAGAGAGAGTATGTCTCGCACCCGGGAGTACTGTGGTGCCCAACATCCAGCCCTGATCGCACGCCGCTCTCCCCAAAGCCTATGCGGAGAGGTGATAGCCGGGATAGGAATGCGCCGTGGTAATCATGATAGCGCGAATGCCTACATTGCTATGAGTTGCCCTTCACCTTCTCTCGCAAGCCACGCTCGGGAGGGTCACTCACTGCGGCACCGAACAACGGTCGTGGTCGGACGAGAACAGTTTTATGTTCAGAGATGAATCGTATTGTTCCGCGCTGTGGCCTGCCATGGGGAAAGTGCAGTCTACGGTGCGCTACACGGACTCATCGGGGGAGGTGGAAGCGATGTCGTCTAAGCTCCGGTCTTAAAGCTTAAGGAGAGACGAGAGTGTGAGTCTCGCGCGCATCACAAGTCGCCACTGATCCGTTCGTGACCGGAGCGAGCGCCTTTCCTGCGGATGGGCTGCTGCTGCTCAAGGCAGCACACGCTTCTGTCTGTAAACGTGTTGCATGGTGATAGTACGCAGACATCGTCGCTAGGTGAGGCCGTATGTATGCACAGTCTGAGTGGACGCGAACGAACATGGGAGGAAGCTACCCAAGTTCGTGTGAAACTCATGGGTAGCATGCCGCATCGCATCTTACGCCGAGTGAGCGCATCAGTAACTAGTCTCCTCGTGTCTTCCGTGGCTTCGCGCATCCAAATCCGGTTGACCCCAAGTTGAAACGGAAGCGTAGAAATCTAAAGTATCCCAATGCGAACCTGGCCTTCTTCGCGAAGAGCTTTGAAGAGGCCCGGGTGATCTGCTCCACGGTGCCCCATCGATCGGGCTCGCTTCGTCGTCCGCCTCGTCCGCCCAGCCTCGTCCATTCGCCAGCCCCAGAGGCTCTGCATCGTATTCGGTACACCTGGGTGGCTCTGCGCACGTAATGGTCTTGACAAAAGACGAGGGCGCCAAAGGGCAGCAAGTCGACCCTGACAGGACGGATCAACAAGCCGCCTAATGGCCCACTGGGAAAGTTCACACCTCCACTGGACAACCCGCAGAGGCTCGAGTTTAGCGTTAGGAATACTCTCTATTCTGGGCGACGAACATGGGCCTTCCCCGCCGCTCTTATAGCTTGCTTCAAGGAATAGCTTCACTGGGTTGCTTTCTGACGAAGGGGTCGATGTTACCCGCTAAAATCGAAACGCTTGATTGTTGCCCCACGCCTAGATTGACGAACCTACCATGCTAACCGCATCCAACGTGCAACGCAACCCAGACGTACATTGATTCTTGCCCCTATCATGACGACTCAACGTCGAATTAGCGCTCGCTCATATGCACGGCGTCCTCTATCCGGGGATCACCATGCCAACTTTGACTGACACCCCGCCCGCTCTTTCTCTGCGACCTCGAGGTCCGCTGTTGCGCACAATATCGTAAGTATGGGTGTATGCCATCCTCGTCATGCAGAGAACTGAGCGCATCATTAGGACTGGCATTACTTGTATTCTGGCTTGCGCCTCATGACTGATACGCAAACGCTCGCCGAACGTCCTGGAGGCGCGCACAGCGTAGCGGACTATCTCTCCAAGCCTAGACAGTCGCTCGAGCAGTCCTCGTACACGGCCGCGCTTTGCTCTCAGTACCAGCCAGGACTGGCTTATACCATGACTGGCCCGCCATCCCAGTTGCAAACTTTCAATCTAGCCGTTGAGATGGACACGAGCCATTGTTATCCTCCCTTGTCCTTGACGTCAGATTCTTTCATGCCAGCTCAAATGTCGGAGACTTTTGTACACTCACCTCTGCACCGGACGCATGCGTCTCTTCCATCGACACTGTCTTCAGAAGGCGCCCTAGGTTCGGCTTTCGAGGTTACCACGGCCTTACTGCAACGCGCCATGACTAGACGGACATATACGGATGCCGCCTTGCATTCCCCATCTGTGCCGAGTGGACGTCCGGACGAGGAGCCCGCGATTGCACCGGCTGTAACTGGGTTCGCCGCAGGGACTGAGCCAGAATGTGACGTGGCTCACAGCGACGCGCCGGGTCTAGCGGTCTGTCTACCCCACACAACGCCTCACGATCCAGGCCAGCGTGGGGTCACCCCAGCCCCCACCCCCACTTCTTTGAATGCTTCATCCGTCGAGGACGCTCCCGAGATCCTCCCAGTGAATGCTTCGGCGACACAATGCCTAATGACGCTTCGTGATGCGACCACTCAACCCTCATATCAGCTTGGGACCGTCGACGGAGTTGATACCACCATTCCCAAATCAGACGCTCAAGCGGCGCTTGCCTGCATGCATCCAAGCTTCATCTATGTATACGGAACGTCGAATACGCTGCCCGCGATCCCTGATAGGGTTTCGCCGAAGCCGCCCACCCCTGCTTCTTTTCGCTGTCTCCGACCAAGCTGCAATAGGTCTTTCAAGAAGAGGAGCAGCCTCAAATATCACCTCGAGATTGGGTGGTGTGCTGGCGCTCCATCCGGAGAACTCAGGACTACGCAAGTTGTACTTGCCCTACGCGGGCTGTCGGATGAGAGTGAACTCTCCAAAGACGAGGCGCGCGAAGTGAAACAAGAGGTTCAACGTCGCCTCCGCCCCTTTGGCTGCGACGTAGATGATTGCCCGCATCGATACAGGAGCATGAGCGGCTTGCGTTATCACTATCGCCGCTCGGGACAGCATGGCATCGAAGGTCTTCGTCTCCTCGCGTCCGGGCAGCACGAATGCCTTCGAAATCGGACTGGCCGTGCGCTCCATGCAACTCAGACAGCAGCAACGATCGCGCTGTTGGCTTCTAGTTAAAGAGAGGCGTCTGTATTTGCCGCCGTACCGACATGCGTGTCCAACACCATCCGGAATTGGCAATGTTAAACAGCAGTACGCGGTCATGCGTGCAGGAAACGATAGTCTAGACTTTTGACCCCACTGTACCTCCAACTTTGTGGGCCATGCCTTCGTCATCTCATCTTCATCTTGATACCAGAATGAGACTTTACCCATGCCCTTTGGAGCAATGACATGATTCCTCTTTTTGTCACTGCATGCATCTCCGGCTCGAATGCGCAAAGTTGCTCTTTGAGGTCCATTAGGCAACCAAATCAAGTCACCCGTCCTTCCAATCGTATCTTCAGTAGCGGATGTGCAGTATTGAAACTGCATATATGAATTCTACGTTTTGCAAGATGCGGGACATGAGAGTCGGGCTCAAGCGGCGGCAGTGCCTTGCCCTGTGTGGGTGCGATTGTGCTCTGTGAGAGAGCTGTTCGAGTCCCGACCCCCGTTCCCCCGTCGTGTTTGGAGACGGTACATAGAAGGTGATGGCTCTCCTTCTGCAGCGTCAGTAGACGCTGTATAAGAGGGACGGAGCCCGGAACGGCCGCGCCCAGGCGCGGTCACATGAGACACGCGCTTGACCCTTCGCTGAGCCTCAGTACGCGAGGAAGGCGCAAGAGGCTGGCGCCAGGACGCACGAGCTGCGAGTCGTTACGTGCAGATGAGCCTCCACGCAGACGACCAGGGCTCAGAAGCCCGGAGCCTCGCAAACGCGCAAACGCGACTCGTCTCTCGCTACGCGTGCACTACACAGTGCAATAGCGTACTCCCTGGAGCATGACGAGAGAGTCGGAGCAGCCGACATACTGGGGTGAATCTATCACAAGATCATATTCTGTACATGGTGGATACTATTGCGGCGGAATGCGGGAAGGACAGTGTATGTACAGATGCTACGTCAAAAATTCAAGAGCAGCATGCAGCTCTGGGCCATCACCATTATCTTGCGTTAGAAGCCATCCGTCGCCGCGCTCCCAGTTCTGTATCTCCTCCTCCGCGAGCGCTAAGCGGCGCGTGAGCGCCTCGTATTCGAGTTGGCGGTTACTCATAGAGTCGTAAAGTTCTCTATGAAGCTTTCGACCGGCGGCCAATATAGCAGCAGACTGATCTGTGCTTAACGTGCGAAGTTGACTGTAGCGCTCCTCGACGCCGATCGGTACAAGCGGCAGCGCGAGCGCCCTGACGAAGTCATACTGCATGCTGCGAGCATTGTTCCGGAGTACAGTGAGCCCTCCATACTCCCAGAAGCGTGTCTCGTGAGCCCATCTACGAGCTTGTACGGACAGCGCAAGCTGTAGACGCTGACGCGCGCATTCCTCATGCCGGCGCGCCCGCACACCATCGATTGAACTGGAACGTAGTATTGCGGCTAGATCAACAGGCTCCCACATGAAGGAGATCTGGAAGTGAATCAGCAACAGTATCCGTGAGCAGTCACGATGAGCAACGTACAAAACCATCAGGGGCCTGGCCGCGGATCCAGCAGCGTAGGCCTATATCGCGCAAATGAACTTCGTAGTGACGCAGGCCAATGATGTCCACAACGTCCCGGGCAAACTCGCGACGGGCGCGGTACCGTCCGTCAACGAGACTTACAAACTCAGAGGCAACGTCGTCTGCGAGAAAATTGGAGTCTGGTGCGGTGGCTGCTATCCGACATACAGCCTCCCCGGCCGCAGGAGATAAGCTGACGAGATCTTCGGAATAGGGGCATTGTGTGTGCGGGCACCTCCACCTGCGCGAGTACGGAGCGTAGGTCTGGGACGGACGGTCGGCAAGAGCAGGGTAGAACTCAGAGATCGCCTGCAGGATGTATGGCGCCGTAGTTGGGTGGCGAGAATGTGCTGGGATGTGGACATCCTCATTGACCAGAACAAGACGGTGTGTTGGCACGGGTGTGTCAGACCTGGCGGCGTCGGAGCGAGGTAGGTCTTCGGGCCATTTGAGCTCTGCTCCCTCCAGATCTTCCCGGTGCGTATAAGGCGTCCGTACCCGGCAGATGTGACGAAGGGCGACGTCGGTCTAAGTAAAGTCAGCGCTGAGATTCGAGCCATCGAGCATCTTCACATTCACCATTGCGGCCCATGTCTCTGGGTTATCGAGAGCCGGTACTCGAGAATGCGCATGAGCCTCTTCCTTATCGATCCGAGAAGAGATGGAACTAGTAGTCGAGATATTGCCGCCTTGCGAGACATCGCTGCCCTCATGGTTATCCATTGCGAAGCGCGCAAAGTTTCTCCGTGTGCGGATGAGTGATGAGATACGGAGGATGAGTGTAGGTGGCGTCTCGTCGAAGTCTTTTCGCATCCTTTATAATTCTGCGAGGATAGAAGCCTTTCACCAGAGGTCACGGATCACTTGTTTGTAAAGTTGGGTGCTGGCGGCATCTTGCTCCTTCTGAACGCTTTGTCGATACGATAGTGATAGGCTGTGACCCATCCCTAGAGCTCCCTAATAGCCCGTAACAGCTGAAGTACTGGAACTCTCACCCCAAATCTCGATCCAGCTCCGTGCGCAGCGAGCCTCACGGGTATATTCTCCCACGACTACTAACAGCTGGCGTATGCGGTGAGAGTCCGTGATAGTCGGAAATGTAATGAACGCACACAGGTATAAGGCGGGACAACTGCGGCCCACACTTTCGGGTACATGGAATAGATAATTCTAAGGAGACCAGTATATCCCTAGGTAGTTGAAGATGTCCGTCCCGAGGGAAGGGGAGCCGCCTATGGTACGCATGAGCAGACAGAGTCTCGAGATGATGGTTGAGGAACGAAGAAGCACGCGGTCCCGATGGATCCCGGCAAAGCCCGAAGCGCGCGAACGAGCGCGTCGGCGGTTGGTACTGGCTCCGCTTGTCACTCTGTTCTCAACAGCCCATAAGATCATAAGATATTATCGGGGAGAAACATCCTATCGAACTGGTTGACCGCTTGACGCTCTCTCCGTGGCGACTTCTCATTTGCAGCGCAGTTGGGAAGTCGGATCTCAAATCGAGCACTGGGGCGTGAGCCCTGAGTACTACACTCGGTGCTGTATTGCAACTGTTGACCACGCGGTGCCTTCACGGTTCTGTTCGCAGGATACTCTATCTCATGACTATTGTGCCTTGTGGGCGCAGGCTTCAAACGATGGCATTGAGATCGCAGCGCTGTATCCCGCAAGCGCGACGGAAGTAGCATGTTCGAGTGTGGGTGGCGTTTCCGCGCTGAACCGTATTTTCAATGCACCACTTACTTCCATAAAAACATGTGCTACGCATGAGGGAAAAGCTCCCCGTATCTAAGCGGCTGGCACAAGTCCCGCAACATCTACCCTCTGAATTGGGCATACGGCAAATTATCCTGACGCCTCGTCGAGATCGAGGTTCGCTCGGGGCATCGACGATTCATGAAGGACACTTATTCACGATTTCATCAAGGTTGTGCACACCGACGCTCGAAGAAATGCCCCGAGCTTACAGGGTCGCATCCACCGGTATGAACACCAGATATTGCTCACCGCGCCTTCGACTCTCAGACGGCGCTTCGTCCATGCCTCAAGTGCGCACTTACCTACAAGTGGCTTCCACTGGTGCTCTCATGCGATGTAAGAGCGCAGAATATGGAATGCTCGCAGAGTGGCAACGCACGAAAGTCTCGGTCTATCTATCACCTCACGGTGCGCTGCATCATTCCTAAGCGAGCTTCGTACTGCTTTCCACCGATCGGCGCATCAAATGGGCGCCCGCCATGAGGACCCGGAACTCTCATCCCGGCATTGAATATGCAGCAGTGGCACTGCTAGACAGAGGCGGGAAAGATTATTCCATTGGTGGGTGTGAGGACAGCCTACCATGTCCTGCGTGCCCAATCGCTTGCACTCGAGAAGTGACTCGGAGCGAGTGAGGTTACGTGGTCGCAATCGATCAACACGTTTTATCCGTGCTTCTTCGTCCTGAGAAGTATTTTAGCGCCTATATATCACTTACCCGAAACTTCGCGATTTGACTCGCGCGTACTTCCTGACCTCCATGCACTGGACCGTCCCTCGTATGTTCCCTTCGATGTTGCTCTGCAAAGCTTTATCTAATCATAGCTCAGTTATGAATCTCTACTGCTATCTCCCGCACCTTCTCATGGCTCAGATCAAGGCCGGCGATGGCGTGGTTAACCTTGACGAAGGCCCTCAACCATACGCGTTCATGGCCTTTTATGATCGCGTGCGCGACAGACCAGCTCGTGCTCGAGGAGAACGCGTGTATATCATATTTGTTGGGAGCGTTGTTGGCATCACTACTGAGCAGTACGAGCCTCTATCTCTCACTTTCGCGCACACTCCTGATGCACAATAGGCATACGCGCGAGGCCGCAATGTGGGGCTGTCCCGATGCTTACTCTATCCGCACTCCTTCTCTCATTAGGGCCTATTCGATCTGGCGGCACTGGCTTCGTCTACTCGCCAAGCTTGTATACCAGCATCCAGAGCTGGACGACGCCGGTCTTGTCAGGCTTGGTCGACAAAGTCTCCCTGCTGCGAATGTATTGGAGGAGTCCGTGGAAACGGAGTTTCATCCAGAAGCCCCTCCTATGTTTGCACCCCCACAAGAGGTGATTGACGTTGTTCCCTCCCTCGTCAAGTACCAATCTGACCAGTGCAGGAGGTTTGTATCGATGTCGAGGAAGACGTCGAGGAAGACGTCGAGGAAGACGTCGAGGAAGACGTCGAAGAGGACGTCGAGGACGACATCGGGGAGGACGTCGAGGACGACCTCTCAAATGATCTCTCGAACGACCTCTCCAAACAACCCTCGAACGACCTCTCAAACGAGACCATTTCTGGTGAGGGTCTAGTCTCCGAGGTCTTTGGCTCGGATACCGACGAGGTCGAGTTTATGCTAGTCGAATATGAGGATGAGATGTAGCTACGCCTTTTGGACGTCACTCATGTCTGCCGGCTCGGGCGAGCTCGCGAGACCGGAGCAAGGGTCCAGAGCGCAATCCGACGTTGATCCGACGCGCCGAGGGCGGCGCGCAGGTTTCGTCTCTTCACCTCCATCTCGCCTCTAGCCGTCCTCGCGCGCCTTCTGCGCCGGTTTCTATTCTACCCTCCACACCCTCTGTCCAGTCTCGCTCATCGCCGTCATTGTCTCGCTCGATTGTCATTGTATCTATCACACGTGCGCTCCCTTGTCATGAATATATTCGCCTGCACGATTAGCTCGCGCGCCACTACCGCCTCTGCTACGAGCGAATCGTGCTCCGCATTTGAGCTCGCCCACCCAGGGGCTCGACCCGGGCCGCGTCTGGTCGGCTTCGCCGACCCCCTTCCCAACCCCCGTGAGCTCGTAGCGGGAACTGCTTGTCATGCTGCATGTGAGGTTGGATGGCCAAGCCCATCGAGTCGTAATGCATGAAGAATCATTCAAGGTGTTGAGGACCGCATCCTCACAATCACGTAACACATGTGTGCCGCACCTCGAGGTCCACAATGCCGATGATTCAATGCGCAATGCTACAGACTCGATATGCCTACTTCGATTGGTACGAACTCGCTACAGTCCTCGCGGGTTGGGCACCCTCGACGACTGCCTGCAACTTCGCGCTCGCACTGCCGTATCTCTCATATGCCCACTATACGATATCTAGCCTTCATCAGCTCGGCGGAAGTATTCTAGCTCGCATGAAGGGCAGACGCTCACAGATGAAACCTACCCATCGAGCCCTCGCGCTTAAGTATGCGTCCCGCCCCGCCAGCTTGTCTCAGCGACGACGTCTGGCCCGCATATGACGTCCCGTGCCGTACGTTATGCTCTCTTCGTATAACTCAGGTTCTCTCTCATGGCGTGCTGTCTCACCTGTCTCGTCATTCACTGACGAGGGCGTTTGAATTAGCCCGTGCCACGTTTGACACTCTGTTCCCTGTTGTATATATCTGCCGCTCTATGCTGGGGCCAGTCCCCTTGCTTCTGTGATGTTTTTCTTCCCTGTTTCATGCATCGTCCGCTCTTGCGAGCCTCGCCTCATTACGAAAGCCGTACCAGTTCTCGTCGGAGTCGGCATTCGATCGAACGTGCATTCATCCATGTGTGATACTGGCGAGGGTAAGAGAACACTGGATATTGAAAGAGTGAGCTCAGACTATGACCATTCGCGACTCACAAATCTACGCTGTACGATGATACTATACATTCGAGCGGAAACCAGGCACAAACGTGCGGATACATCACCGACTACACACAAGGACTATAACCAACTATCTATTCAGGGCCTCTCTTCACAATCGCCTTCCACGTCTGGCACTTCACAAACCACGCCGGGTCTTTCTCTGCAATGACCCTTGCGGGAAGATCGCGTCCACTCTTGCGCACATCGAAATCGTCCTCTTGCAGAAGCACACCACCAACCTTGCTATAGTGCTCATACGTGATCGCGCGGCCCCTAGAGCGCGATAAGTGAGATGATAAAACGATGCTATCGATGCGGCACTGGTACCTGAGAGCACCCGTGTCAAGCGCCCATCCCTGAAAAGTTTTCCCACCCACCTTCTTCGCCGAGGCATCCGCGTTCCCCGTAGCCTTCGGCTTCGGCTTCGGCTTCGCCGGCACCGCTTCTACAGGAGCTGCCTTCCTTGTGGTCGTGGAACGCTGCGCGCGCTTCTGACGTTGGCCAGGATTGCCTTTCGGCTCCCCTGTGTCTTCCGTGTCAGCCTTGTTCGCGCGCTTCCGACGTTTGGGTGGAGTTGGGTCAGACGAATCATCGACAGCTTGCGTGGCGGCTTCGGCGGGCGGAAGAGTCTCGTCGGGCGCAACCCGCTTGCGACCGCGTTTGGGTAACTCGGCCGTCATAGTCGGCTCTTGATGACCGTCTTGAAAGGTGTGTGCAGGCGATGCAGGCGGCGACTGGAGCAACGGTTCGCCGGCTCCTGGAGGTGTTGTAAACGATGAAAAGAGCGCTGCAGAGGTGAGAGTCGACGCAATGCCCTCGTTTCCCTGAACGTGTAGTGTTGTAATAGATGAAGAGCCCGACGCCGGGGTCGCGTGGACACTGTTATGAGCCGATTCTTCGTGATCGCGTCCGTCGTGCCCCTCTAAGGTCGTAAAAGCCGAAGCCGAAGGGGTTTGTCGCGAGGCAGCGTGTCCGGATATGAACGTGAACGGCTCTTTCGAGACAATGCTGCAATGTTGGAGTAGCTTCGCAACGAAATCGTATAACACGGGCGCATTCTTGAGGGCGGCTTGATCAAAGCACATGTAGTTGTGACGGTGCGTATCGTAGAAGGCGGATGGGTTCTCCTTGATCTGCCTCCACGGTATACCATCGGGGTGTCGAGACTTCCGGGCATAATCTTGAATGGTGTGAGAACTTCATATGTTGATGTAGTGACAAATGCAACGTACACCATGAATGGGCCATATACTCCGTAATATAGTCCATGAGAGCGCCGGGTGATAGAGACCATGGGTCTATCGAGGGAAATACGGGGATACCCGCGGCGTTATGTGGAATGGCGATCTTCGACGATGGGACGGAAGGTACGGAAGCACCTACTGAGGTCATTGATAGCCCGTGCCGACCGTAGAAGAGCAGACTTACGCGGAAGATGATCATCTGCATACTGATCCCACGCCTCTTTGAAAGTCTTGAGCTTGTCTTCGTCGTCCTTGTCCACACCATATTGAGGGGCGGGTTCAGCAGCGCGACCGTGAAACCTGATTGAAGCGCCGTCAATACAGTACCTAGATACTTAGAGCAGACATGCGTACACGGTGGAGCGCAATTTTCCATCGCCGCCACGGTATGCGATAATCGACAGGGCTAGTACACCACCCAACGCCTTATCTTGACAAAGCTGATCCAGTGCGGACCCAAAGTTGGAAGCGAGCGACTTCTGACGCCTGGGATGGAAGAAATGAGTCGATTGTGCACGCGGAGAAGGAGGGACATCACGAACTCCTCGATAGTGCAGCGACCAGTGGCAGCCTTGGCCTCGTACGCAGCGAGCGACTCCTCATCAATGGCAAACCACATCTCTGTCAAGCGCGCCTTGTAGGCCGCGTCATCTCCTTCGGGGATCTCCTTGAGGATGTCGTCACGGACATCTGCCTCATAGAGTTCCACGGCTGAAGGGGGGGGCGCGACGATATTGAGCAGTGAACCAGTCGACCGTTTGGGAGAGCGAGTCGCTTTCAGCTTCCGATAATAATTGCGAAACTTCCTGTCGACAGCCTGAACAAAGTCAACAAGATCAATACGGCGAGTTAAAACGAAAGACGAAGAAGGTATGAAGACAAACTTTCTTATGCTCGTCAGTGATAGTACCAATCTGGAATACGAGATTTTCCTTGAAAAGGCGTGCTTGTCGGTCGGCGGCCCACTGTGTGACAGCAGAATAACCAGAGAACTTCGGGTCCAGCTTCGTGACAGTAGGCGCAAACTCGGTCTTCAGAACGTCGCCAACGGCGTCCGCTTGCGCCTTGTTCAGGATGCGATCTTTTGAGCCAGCCATGAGTGGAGAGGGTAGCGACGAGAAAAGGCAAATTTGGCACACCTCCTCTGATTAAGTAGGCTGAACACAGAGCACGTGGTTAACTGTAGTGTTCACAGGAGCGCCAGATGATTCAAGTACGCGGCGCTAATCACTGCCGCGTTATGCAGTTCCAGTGCGCTTCGAACAGCGCCCAGGATCAGAGATTGAGGCGAGATAGCGAAAGTCGTGGCGAGCTTATTCCCACGATTGCACCTACGTCCACATCGGAGAGGCGCTGCCATGCATCTACTGTCAGGATGCGGTAAGGGATCGCGGCCATCGAGGTTGCGTGCAAGACGCGCGAGACGCTTCCGCGGCGGGGCGGCGGGGCGGGTTGAGCCGCGGATCACTGAGGCAACTCAGGCTCAAACCACGATGTTTGGCCTTCCCGGTTGCTTCCCGGCGCCGGCTGCTCGAGCTCCTGCGTATACGGCTCTCTGACTAGAGCAACTCCGCGTTGCACAAGGTCTCCCTGCATGTATACGTAGCAGTCAGGGC